ACATAAAACAGCATTTTAATAACAACTAAAGGTGACATAGATACTTTATTATGGTATAGTATTTAAATATATGCCTGAGAAACACATAATATTGGCCCTTTAAAGAACATAATCTCCCGAGACTTTAGGGTCACGTGTTCAAATCAAAGCAAAATAATACGAGTTGTTGTTGTTAGTCACTAGTGCGGAAAAAAATGGATGAAAAACGAGCGAACAAGGAAASAAAAAGTTATTATTTTCACCCGGAGTGGGAGGAGGACTATTTTTTTGTTTGTTTTTTCTAATTCAAAGTCTATTTGCTTCAAATGTAATTCGAGCACTGCCTTATGCAAACAGGGTAACTTGGAGCGGCATTTCAAGACGATGCACAAACGGTACGAGATGGATTTCCCCTCCTAAACGTTCTTTACAGACTCAGAAAGTGCGGGAGCTGAAAAACAAGCTTGTAGCCCAGCAATCGATTTTCACTCAGCCCAGCACATGGTAAGGCTGCTACGATAGCCTCATACCATATTAGCCGCATCCTGGCTAAACACAAGAAGTCTTTCAGCKATGGAGAAGTCATGAAAGAAGCGTTTATTGAGGCTGCAGATGCACTTTTTCATGATTTAAAAAGTAAAAGTGTGATTGTGTCTGCAATTAAAGACATGCAGTTGTCCACACAAACAGTGACACGGTGATGAGAGGGAGTGGATGTGGATGTGCAGGAGCAGCTAAAAAAGGATGTCTAACAATGTGAGATTTCACCTTTTTTTGTAGGTAATTATATGGTTAAGTAGATAGTTTTGTTTGACAATACTTTAAAGGGGACCTATTATGCAAAATTCACTTTTTAAAGGTTTTTTTAGTCAACTTTGGGTATGTACTTCTTAAAAAACAGTCCTAGGACCAAAAACATGCACCSAGAGGCATTTTTACTGTGAGTAAATGTATTTTTTAATGTATATAAACGACAAGTTTTATACTTCCGTCATTTTGTGATGTCACAAGCCGTATGACAACCCACCAGAACCTGAGTTCAGCCCCTTACCTAGCAACCCCCGGGTGAGACTCCACCTCCTCAATATAAACAGCCGTCACCGCGTTGTTGTGTATTGCGCAGCTCATTTCACAACAAGTCTCCAATAGGGCAATGAGTGTAATCAGTGTTGGACCAGAGAGTGGGAGACCAGGGTTCAAGACTGGCATGGACACTATTTAATTATTTTATTTATTTTTGTTTGTTATGAACACATTTTCTCATGTACCTCTATTGTTTAGCTTATTAAAGCCTTGTTTAAGCCTATTTGTTCGAGTTTCTGAGGTATTTCGACCGCTGCTGCTCCCTGCTCTGGTAACAGCATGCAGACTGAGCACAGAGCAGAGGAGGGAGAAAAAAAAGAAGCTGCCACCACAACTCTACCTCTGGGTCTCATATGGTTGTACAACGGAGCTTCTGCTATTGTTAGCCATGCTAATGTAAACGCTGGCTTTGGAGGGCGGAGTTAATGTCAACAGATTTTTGGAGGGCGTTACCAACAGAGCTCATTAACATAAACAGCTCTTCTGAACGTAAGTCAGAGCAGGCAGAACTAGAAAATGGGAAATTTTATTATCTGAGAATTATTTTGTGCTTTAAATTGAATGAACATGGTCTGGATAGCCCACAGACATACCATAAAAATTTTTTAGGACCCATAATTGGTCTCCTTTAAATTAAATAAAACTAGCAACACATTACATTCTGTTTTATTTACTTTAAAGAAGTGAGGAGTAGGGAGATGAAAAATTATGTTTGCTTTTTTTGATACTGAGACTGGACGAGTAGATCTCGGCAAACTGCCCACTTCAAAAGTAGATCTTGGTTCAGAAAGGGTTGGGCACTCCGGACAGCATGCTGAAATTCTTGCATTTTCTCCCCCTTTATTTGATTGTCATGAAATTAAACCATGTCCTGTGCTTAATCATTATTACCAGTGGACCACTTGTGACTTTTTTTGTCTATTTTGTACATTATCACTTGTACTTTAACTAGACACACCTTGTATTCTTTCAGTTCTCCCATAAGAGATTCACGTCCCACCGAGTCCCAATGAATCGTAACCTGAGTGCTCTCTATGTTGGACACTCTCAGGTTCAAGGGGGCAGCAATTGGACCTTTGGAAAAAACAGAAGTGGCGTTCTTCAAAAACAAAGCAAGTGATGGAGGTACAATTTGTAAGACAGATGAAACCATGACTCCACACAGTAGGTGTTTCTTTTCTGAGGCTGTGTACGATTCCCAGCAGTATTTAGTCCACCATAAAACACACACACAAAAAGTGAAGTATAGGTGCAAAAACTCAAATTTGTCCATATAAAAATGACGTAAGACACCTGCATTGAGTTCAAGAGGCTCACTGAATTATTTGAAAACCAAAAAATTTGCACCAATAATTCTGAATTACTTCCATAGTTTCAACATCTCAATAAATTATGGCAAATTATAAAACCGAGAAAATAATGAAGTTTTTTAAAGTTTATTCTGTGATACCTCACTGTACTGTGCAATATGCTGTTAGGAAAAGTGTGGGAATCTCTTTCTGAGGAACATAGCTAGCACCTTGAGGCCTAGTCACACYACAATGATTTTGACAACTTATGCCAACTTATGAAAATTTTGTTGACTATTTTACTTAAATCAGTTACATATTTGATATAATTAGCATTACAGTATTTATAGGTCCGAAAGAGGCTTCAATGAATTTTTTCCCCATTCCATCTTCATCTTAGATATCTTTAGTGCTGGATAAATTTTTCATAAGTTGGCATAAATTGTCTAAATGTTTAAAGTGTGACAGGACCTTAACAAAAGTACACCTAAAATGTGTTTGTTGACACATTTTTTGTGGTTCCTCTCAATTTCTCACATCTACCAAAAATGTAATTCAATGAATTGAGAGACTTACGGTCTTCACCAGAGTAACCAGTGACCACAGGTGACTCTGGTCCCAGCCCAAAGTCGTTGACAGCCTGGACTTTGATCTCATAAGGGGTGAAGGTATCTGCATCATAGATGTAATATTTCAACCACTTTGTGGTTGCATTTTTCCACTCTTCTCGGGAGTCTCTCCTTCTCCACCACACCAAATATTTTAGGTGTGGTCCATTCCACTCTCTGTAGGCCAAAGGCTGCAAACGCAGCAAACACTTGGTTCATATTAGGATATTTTGTGTTAAAAGATCTCGAACTTGAGGTTCTGAAGATTAATAAATAGTTTTATCTGAAGCTTAATTACCTCCCAGCTGATTTCCATGTTATTTCTCCACGTTCCCACACCTTTCACATTCTTTGGTATGGCATCTGGAGCTGTGTAAGAAAATCAATTCATTAGTATAAGATTTTGGTTCAAAAATAGTTCCTGTTTCTGGGAAATATTGTACATTTATGTAAACAAATTGATTGAAAACGCCATTTGTAAGTGCAGCTTTACTATCTAATTTTAAATAACTAAGACTATTTTTTTTTTACCAACTATTAAGAAAAGTCTGAAATCTTTGTTCATTAATTCACCTAATGGTATGCTTCAATGTCAGATATTCATAACGTAAGGCAAATGTGTATACTCTATATTAAACTCTAAGTTTACCAAATTGCATCTTTACAGGGTCTTGGCAAGGTCTTTCCTATGATAAAAGTAATAAATCATGGAGAAGTGTGAAGATTACCCACACTGCAGCAAACTTGGGGTGGTACATTATTGTGGTGGAAGGATATCAGAGCCCTGTGGGGGGTAGCTATGATACTAAGCCCACGCATGGCTTGGTGAGCAGAACTTGAAGCAGGACTGGCCATGCTGGCCTCATGTCTTGGTCATGMCAGTGACTGTAACAAGTTCATGAAAGCAATTCCTCTACAACATTTTCATAGGTTTCGTAGGTCATAGAAAGCATAGTGGGGTCGTCATCTAATGTGAAGTGTGGCCTTAGAAATGTAGCAAACTGCACAGATGCAGATCGATATACTTGTTTTGTTAAATGTAATGCTTATTCTAGTAAAAAAACAGAAATGTTGCTTGTTCATATGGTCTCTAATGACAACTCATTTTTGTGCAGTTGTTCTGCTGAAAAATGGTGTTGCTCAAACCTTTTTAGCATCTCCAAAACCTACGGCACTAGAGTTATGCCTGATGAATTGAATGGCTTTTATCTTGGTTTGAACAATCACTGACTGACACAAGATACATCAGAAATCCACACATGCCTGAATAACTTTAGGGGCTTCACATATGATCTGTATGGCACAGACATGAAACTATAAATCCAGCTTTTCAAACTATCCATCCATCCTTCTATTATCTTCCGCTTTATCCAAAGTCAGGTCGCAGGGGCAGCTTGTTGAGCAGGGAAGCTCTGATCTCTCTTTCCCCAGCCACCACTTCCAGCTCTTCAGGGAGGACTGCAAGGAGTTCCCAGGCCAGCCGAGAGACATAGTCTCTCCAGCATGTCCTGGGTCTTCCACGGGGTCTCCTCCCAGTTGGACATGCCTGAAACACCTCCCTAGGGAGGCGTCCAGGAGGCATCCTTACTAGATGCCTAAACCATCTCAACTGGCTCCTTTTGATGTGGAGGAGCAGTGGCTCAACTCTGTCTGTCATGGATAACTGAACTTCTTACTCTATCTCTGAGTCCAGCTACCTTGCAGAGATTACTCATTTTGACTGCTTGTATCCATGATCTTGTTGTTTCAGTCACTACCTAAAGTTCGTGACCATATGTGAGGGTAGGAACGTAGACTGATCGGTAAAGACAGAGCTTTGCTTTACAGCTCAGCTCCCTCTTCACCAAAACAGATGGTACAGAGTCCGCAACACTATGAAAACTGCACTGATCCATCTATCAATCTCATGCTCCGTTCTTTCCTCACTGGTGAACAAGACCCCAAGATACTTGAACTCCTCCACTTGAGGCAGAACTTCACCCCCAACCCGGAGAGAGCAATCCACCCTTTTCCGACTGAGGACCATGGACTCAGATTTGGAGATGCTGATCCTCATCCCAGCCACTTCACACTCAGCTGCGAACTGCTCTAGTGAGAGCTGAAGATCCTGGCACGATGACGCCAACAGAACCACATCATCTGCAAACAGCAGAGACGAAATCCYGAAGCCATCGAGCCGGAMTCCCTCTGGCCCCTGGCTGCACCGAGAAATTCTGTCCATGTAAGTTATGAACAAAATTGGTGACACTGGGCAGACCTGACAGAGTCCAACTCCCTCTCTGAAGGGATCTGACTTACTAATAGCAATGAGAAACAAACTCTTGCACCACTTTCAAACTACTACAAACAAAATGAAAATGGTCTAAGTAAAGTTTATCTGTTGAAAGACTTTCTCTTTGCATCGCATCTCATGTTTCCCATCATAATCTAATCACTGGAAAATGGCTGTGTTAGTTTGCTGTCTTGGATTTTACTAGTCATATATCTTATTAGCATCACACTCACGTGCACCACTGGACTGAAAGCGCTTCGACGGACGACTGGGGCGACTTGTTCCAATTTCATTAGCAGCAATGACTCTGAACTCATAGTAAGTGAAAGGCTGAAGATGTAGAATGACTGAATTGAGGTTCCCTGGGTATGTCGATAAGTTTTTCCACTTTCCAGGTAACCAGTCATCATCATCGTACTGGATTAGGTACTCTGTCATAAAGCAGAAAATTTAGCCAATCATGCAGGTGAATTTAACAAAAGTAATAATTTTTTTTGTGTTTATTATTGCTTGAACCTGTTATGGGGCTGTGGTTACTGTCTCCAGGAACCCAGCTGAGTCGTACACTACGTTCATATGGATCTGATAACTCCAGATCAGTTGGAGGATTTGGACGGTCTACATAAAAAGAAGAACAATTAAAATGCAGACCAAGCTGTGGAACTGATGTACAATTATATTTTTTATTTATTCAGGGTCCTACCCATCACCATTAGGTGTGCTGAGACAGACTTCTGCTCCAGCTCATTCTTGATGACACAAGTATAATTGCCCTCATCACCTCTGTTTACATTAGTAATGACCAGATTGGATTCGTCCAAAGAAACTCTGAGAAAAATATATAAATATGTGCTTATATAAATGACATGAAACAAAATGTTTACCTGTAGGTTGTACAAAGAAGCTTATTTTTAAATGAGTAAACACTTTTTCCAAAAATACGAACCTCCAGTTAAGAGAGAGTTCCTTTTTGTTTTTCATCCACAATGTCGTGACAGGAGTGGTGGTGTCTGCTTTTACTCCACACTCGAGGCGAACGTCACTTCCACGCACGACTTTCATATTCTGTGGTCTTGTGACAATTATTATGGGCTCTGAGAAAAACAGATGACAATTGTCGAGCTATTAAAACACCTAATTATGTGGATCAGTTTCTGTCTGTGTGACTGAGATCTTGACCTTTGACCTCTACTCGAACTTGATCTTCATCTCTTCCCGCGATGTTGCTGATCACACACAGATAAGTTCCCTCGTCTTCTATCCGAATGCGTTTGATTTCCAAAGTCCCATTACTGTGGGTCTTAAACCGATTTCCCTCAAGGGTTCCTTGTCCGTATTTAGACCTGTGATAATCAATCCATTAATATTCACAGAAACTACACTTTTGTTAATTCACGTTGCACATTAAATTACTCAGTGTTATAATCTTACCATCGCAGCTCAGGCACCGGAGACCCGAAGTAACGGCAGTCTAAGAAGGTGCGACTTCCTTCCGTCACCCTGATGTGCTCATTTCTGGGACCGAGAATACGTGGAGTTGCATCTAAAGAAGCAAAAACCAACAGAATTCATGAATGACACATTTCTGAATTTGGGTTTGAGAGAAAATATTTGTTCTTACAATAAAATATGCCCACATAATGTGAACACAAATTTTTTATGTTGCAATTCAGGTTTACACACATGTCAACCCCTTTGGACATTTATCTGTTTACTGAAAAAAATGATTTTTGGTGTAGAAAAAATTATTTAATTAAATGTTACAAATGTTACAGATTTGTATAGCAC